AGCGTCTCCCTGAGGACCGAGTCTGCCCACTCGCTCTGCCCGTCTTCTGATAATACTAAACCCACAGATTTATTGTAGATCTGGACCCATCAGCACCCAGAGGACAACAATCTGCCCACATTAGTTTCCCCAGACATGCTCTCCAAGGCAGCCTGCAGGCTGGACGTAGAGCCAAGCATGACAGAAAATAATCCTCTTCTACCAGCCGACACAGCTCCTGTTAAAGCCGTTTGGGTTTAAAAATATTACGCCGATTCTGCAGCTTGCTTTGATACTTTCAGACAAAGCTATCGAAAATAATCAACTGAACTTAAGAGCCTCATGCAAATAGAGATATTAATTAATTTTATGTCACATCGTTTTTAGTCAAAATGTGGGGTCTGCATGAGTGAGTCCAGCCTAATGAACCTTGAACTGCTGGATTTCAGAGGTTACAGCAGTGGACGCTAATTCAGCCGCAGGCTACCAAAGGCCAACAGGGATGAAGAGCGGTGAGCTTCACAGCCTTGGATTTGTCCAATTCTTTAAAAGTTAGCTTGCAGGAACGGTTGCTAACCTCAAATAGATGAACAGATCCTGAGCACATGCACCTTGTTCAGATCTGCCATGAGGGAAACAGAGACAGGCACCAGCATAGACTCTTTGTGTGAATGAATTAATGAATACAAATATTTCACCAACAAAAATCTAACACAAGCTGTTTACATCTGAGGTTTTTGTTACATATTTATCAATCAAAATACTGCATGTGGACTTTCTGATGTCCAGCAGACAGAAAGCATGAAACAAATGAATTATTTTTTTACCAAGTCATGATTGGTTTGACTGATTTAAGGAAACTTTAACTCTATCAAAAATAAGTCAGCTGTCTCTTTTGTGCAGAATTGTTCTGCAAAAAAATAATAAATAAATAAAAAGTTTGAGCATGAACAGCTTGTTTAAAACCATGTTTCAGCTTCCAGTTGGATTTAAATCCAGACTTTACTACACTGTAAACCTTTACAGTGTAGTAAAGTAAATTTGTAGTATTATTCAAAATGGCCAAATGTACCTTAGAAGCTTATAAAATATAATCTGAACAACATTATGTGTTTATGGTCCATAAAAACGACATTACCTTTAAAAATCTTCCTTTCTTAGAATAGTTAAGATTGTTCAGTAAAAATAAGATTTTAATCTTAGACACATTTCACATCAACATAAGCTTAAAAATAAAACTTTTTATACAAATCCAGGTGTTCGCATCAGAAGCCACATCCATGGTAAAATACTGATTTATATGGATTTTACTGTATTTATACTGTAAACTTCTGATAATCACAGCTACCAGAAATTAGGGCTGTGTTTTTACAATGTTGGTAACTCCAAAAAAAAATCAAATTTTCATTTTAAAATGTTTTTTTAATGAAAAGAAATTCATTATCTGTATGTTATAAAATATATTCTAACTTCCCATGACTTCATATGCAGACGTGCTGCAGTAATAATGTTCAAAATTTACCGCAATATGTCTGCATTTCAATCATTTAACAGCTCAAATCAGATTAGCAAACATAATGCACAAAGAAAACGTTGAAGCAGCTCAATGCATGTCAGAGAAAGAGGATCACAGATGCACAGCCCCAAATTTTTATTGAAGTAATTTCTAAATGACTGAAAATTCAGTTGTACTCAGCTTGAAAAGAGACTCGTACTGTCATCTGGGGAGCAGGTGTCCTGAACTACAAGCTGCAGACAAACTTACATCGCTCTGAGCTGAGAGGCAGAAAACAAAACATCTGATCCAGGATCCAACCCTCAAATATTTTACAGCTTGTAAATACGGACAAACAGAGAACTTGAGGTTCTGCTTAGTTTAACAACACAATCTGTAAAAAATGTAATAAATCCTTCCCCTTGCAGCTGTTTCATTTATAAATAACATTAGCAAACTGATTACCATAAAACACAATTGGAAATTAAGAAAATCATAGTAAGATGATGAATTTTGCATCAAACTAAGTTTCTGAAAAGATGCAAATGTTTGATCAGAACTTTGCCAGGGACATGCAATTTGGTTACAAAGGACCTTAAAGAATGACTCTGCACATGCAAGGCTAAAATAATTCTCAATTGCATTTTTATCAACAACTATAACACAACACACATGCTTATAATTGGATTGGCACAAATCTGCAGTTGGCAATCTGAGCAGTGCAGACCGTGCAATGGGAGCTAACTAAACAACATCAATAGTAAACATTTTCCACAGAGAAGAAGAGGAGAAAAAATAAGTAATTCCATGCACCGTGCCACTCTACTCCTTTAGATTTCACCAGGCTCAATCAAGAGCCCTTTATCCTCTGGCTCACATCCTCAGACAGGGGAACCAGAGCTGCCATAAAATGGGTCCGGGAACAATGCACAGCCTTGATTGCTCTATTGTGAGTTAGTTTTGGCCTTTGACATCTTCTCCTGAACCAAGAGTGTCTAATTCTGACAAGATTTGTCTGGAGAGACGCAGCTGGAGGGCATTGTTACAGACAGGTGCCATACACTGCCTGCTTGACAAAGAAAGTCAAGAGTAAGACAATGATGGAGAGGAAGAAACCGCTGCAGTAGAAATGTCTGCTCAGTCCCTGTTTCTCCTTTTAGTTTTTTTTAAGTCAGGGTGAAAGTGTCCAAAAGGTTAGAGAAGTAGATAACAGAGGAAGCATGTCAATGGAAACCCCAGAGGGTACATGTGTAGCGTTTTGCTCATTTAGCGGCTGCAGACTAAGGATGGTGTTATGTCTGCAGGGCTGAAGAATGCAGCGCAGGAAGGGCAAGGTCTACGATAAAAAGCATGAGCGCTAAAAAAAAGTAAAAAATACAGAAAATACAGTACGAATCAGTTTGGGAGCGAGTATCTGTCATCTGAAATCACTTTACTGTGCAAAAGTGCAAACCGATATCAAAGGAGATTGAGTTACTGAGTGAGAGTGGAGAGGATGTGTCACCCAGTCATGACCTGAATGTCTGAAGAGACCAGGAGGATGTTTGGTTTCACCGGAAAAACAGACGGCAGGCATTCATCATTATATACATTCAGTATTAAACAAAAAATGAGGCTGATAATGAGCTTTATGACAGGACAATTTGAGCCTAAAACAAAAACAAGAGTCAAAAATGACATGATCAAGTTGCTACAATATAAAAACTGAAAAGCATTAGTTGTTCCCATTAATGACTATTACAGTCATAATGTCTATAACATTTAATCAATGCTACTTTAAATTCCATACATAGAGGACAAATATAGAGTAATTAAAGCTAAATTAAGTGTTAGATTTTAAGTGGTCGTTATGCAGTTAATTAGTTAATTAAAGTGAATGTCTGCAGCGCTTCACTGACATGCTGCTTGCATCGCAGCTCGTTAACTGTACTTCTAAAACAACATGGCGGACCAAACAGCAGACATTTACTCCTTTCAGATCATGCAATTTTTAAATCTGTAATATCACAACATCTCTATTTGGACTTTAAAAAGATGCACAAATGTTGACTTTTCTTCACACTTTTTATGCAGACTTATGATTGCACTTATGTTTCAGTGGCTGAATGCCTTTGGACAGGAAATGGTAGTTTGTACCCCACAAGACCACAAACTACAATGTCTTGCAAAATCTTTGCCGAGCAACATATTTGTGAAAAACTCTGATTTTCTGTGCAAGAGTTATCAGAAAGTATGTCAAATGCCTTCCAATTTTTGGGTGATCATTTTAACGTCTAAAAGATGAGTAATTTTTGTACAACAAATGCAGAAAATACAGAACAGAGCATGTTTTATAACAAATTTAACATGAAAACACTTTCAGAAAACCTTACAAAACAAAAAAGAATCTGAAAATACCCATCTAGGTTTGTATTTCTATGCTCAGCTCTTCCACACATCTACAAGGTCTTGACATGAAACAGTGGATTGAGCTTCGTCCACCATTATTGTGTTGTAATAAGAGAAACAACAATCTTTCTAATTACATTTATGAATTTGGGTTCAACTTATTGCAGAAACTTCAACCTGTCGTACTACTTTTTGCTCATTTTAACAAACTCGTGATAGTAATAATAACTATGATGAATTTTCACACAATGCACTGTCAAACATCTGAGCTGCATTTAGTTGTGTCTACTGTCTTCTACTCTTTAAGTCAAATAAATTTAGTGAGTTTTAGTTTTGAACCTAAATGTGAGTTTGTGAAAGATAAACTTAAGCTGTGTTAACTTTTTATTAATTTTGTCAAACCTCCAAGAGTTTAATAAACTAGAGTTTTTAGGTTAGCACTTAAAAAACTGAAAGATGAAAAAGACAGGAGTGGGAACTATTTCCCAGAATGCTTAGCGGCTTGTTTTTGCCTCCGGAGATGGAAGTGCGTTACATTGATCTGAGTCTACATGTTATGAAGGCAAATGTTTATTTTAAATCGTGAGGACTATGTCCTGTTCACACTAAATGTTTTAAACAATTTAGTTTCATTTTTAATAAAATTCATTATCAGATCAGAAAGCAAGAATTTAAATTATTCCAAAGTAAAATAGTTATTTCAACTTGATAACGTGAGTGAAAATAGAAATGTGGCTTTTTAACGAGATGAAGGCAGTTGTTTTTTTTCTTGCATATTGTGAAATAACTATTTGGTTTAAATTGCAGCATTAAGTTAAAACTCACAATTAAAGATTAATTAACTTAAAAAACAAAGTTTAGAAAACTTGTCTCTTGTTGTTAAATCAACTTAATGAACTTTAATTTCCGAGTTAAAACCAAAACAAATTTGTTGTTGAGTTAAATGACATTGTCAAGGCAGCAGGTGGACTTTCATTTTCAAGTTAAACCATCTTCAAATGTTTTACAGTGCACTTATAATGATACATTTTATAATCTCATGTAATATAGATGTAGATTTTTGAAGGATATTCGTCTACTGTGTCTCAAAAAGCATTTTCATTATATTACTGGTGTTCTGAAAAGTGGAATAACTTACAGCCTTTGTATATATCTGTAGGAATCTGGACGGCACTGGAGGAGTAGTTGACCTTGTTTTTAAAATTTGGATCGTCGACAAACTCCAGCTCCAGGGAGGACGAGGTCTCCAGCGGAGCTTCCTCCTCTCCGTCCTCCGTCTGCTGAAACACACAATAAATAAGAGATGAATCCATGTCTAAAACAGGATTACAGAGCTGCATTTTGTAGCTTTCTACACTGCGATTGTGGGAGACGCGTATTTGTCCTCGGCATATATCAGCTTTCTTCCTGACTTTTTGAATCATGTTAAACATAAAAATGTCGATTATTCTGCCTTCTGTCTGACCTCAGATTCAGTGGTTCTGTTCTAATCAGAGAAAAACAGCAGGTATGAGCTCAGTCACGAAACGGAGGGAGCCATTAGTAGCTATGATAACCATCACACCAACGTGGTGTTAGAAGAATTAACCCCAACAACTGGCATCACTTAATTACTGTTTATTTTCTCGCCCAGCATATTTGATTACAGACTTTCTTCTCTCCTGCCTCACAATGTGAGTATCAAACTCCCTTTCTAGGGTGTTTTGTTTGCAATTTGTAGCCATATTTTGCATCTCAGAAGAACCAAATGTCAAACAAACCCAACATATTAAAAAATTAAAAGTTTGTGTGATTTGTCGGATGAAACGATTAGAAGAAAATTTTATTTGCTTGTTTCTGATCTGACATAAAGAAGTGCATCCAATAAAAAAATTAACTACCACAACTTTACCACTTTTAATTCATTCATTTATTTTATACTTGTTGAATAAATAAAGTCCTAAATCCTGACAACAGCAAAGCTTCCTGGTTGATGCAAAAATTTCATTTTGATAAAGCAGCAAGGGTTAATTGGATGTGACACGACTGAAAAAACGTTTGTTTTGTCCAAAGAACGTGAATCAAAACCTCTTGTCCACAGCAGAAACTGATTGATGGGCTGGCTGTAATTGACTATTAAAATGCAATTACAAACTGCTGTCGGGACGAGCCAGGGGACGTTTGAGACGGAGCTGCTCTGTAACAAAACAGAGGCGGCGATAACGGTATGAAAGAAAACGACCCACGAGACGATTTCCAGCTCAACAGTTGGCAAAAAAATCTGAGGTTGACCTGAAAATGAGCAGCGACATTTAAAAAAATGACAAAAAACTAAAAAAAAAGGCTTATTAAAACATAATTCTGTATATTTCTCTTGCTCTTAGATATCTCTGTAGTTATGCTGCTGGAGTTATGCTGCTTGAGGACAAACCAGCCACTTCTTCTCACTTCCTTCTTCTTCTACTCTCCAATTTGCATTATTGGCTGTTATGTCAATTGTTAATTTTATGCTTTAAAACTTGAAGACATCAGTTGAGATATTGCTGCCAAAATCTAAATATTCTCCCTCCCTGCTATTAAAGTTTTACTTTTTATGAACTTAGAAAATAATCCTGCGTCAGTGCATCCGTTTGTCTTTTGTGCATCTGAGGCTGCGTTCACACTGCAGCCTGAAGTGACTCAATTCTGAATTTTTTAATGCGACCTGTATCCGATCTTTTCATGGCAGTGTGAACAGCACAGGTCGGATTCTTTTCCGAATGTGAC